AGCAAAGCCCAGCTAGGCGCGCCTTGCTGACTCAAAACAGGATGCCCCCGATCTTTTCTTCGAAGTGGACTCTTCCCGCATGAATAGCTGACCTTGTTTTCGGGATAGAGGGCGAGTTTTCCCCCCTCGTTTTTGAACTTGTTGTTCGCTCTTATCATTTTCGAAGTTGTGAGCGGTGGGGTGGACCGTGGTGCGGGGAAATGTGTTCGGTGCTAGCCGGTCGGGGCTTCGTTGGTGGCGGACTCTTCTCTCGTCACTTGCTCGTCGATCGAGTCTAGGGTTTGTTTGACATTAAGCTCAAATAAACGCCGTATGGATTACCTCTGCATTGTCTGGTACGTACACTTTATTTCTTGAGTACGTTCCCTTTATTTATTTTATTTATTCCTTGAGTACGTTCCCTTTATTTATTTAGTAGTAAACACTACAGGTCGAGCTAGCGCAGGTACCCTGCCCCCTCCGCGGTAGTGCGTTGGCTACGCAATCGAGTTCACGACGTCTCTATCGGTCTTCGTGGTGGTCATGCACGATGTCGAAAGCTTTCAATAGTTCACGCGACTATCTTAGTGGGTAGAAAGGCTGACATTTCGGTCGATCAGGGGCGGGTTCCGACGTTCTACTGGCAGAGATTAACAAGGCAGCGAGCTTGGGCTGTGGCACTCGGAATAATGAACAAACTCTTACCCGAACCAAATCACCGGTGCGAAGCCCGTTAAAATTACGAGTCAATTCTTTTCGCGGCGCATTCAAATGACGGACGTGAACATCAAGTTTCTCCGTTCATTTGTCGAAAGCTAGGACTACAGCGCCTTGGACGCCTCTCCAGCGACAGGTGCCATCTTGTTTCGAAAGTCACTGACGTCACGTCAGCGTCGCGTTGTGGTTGGTTGCCGCTTTGCGGTTCGTGAAAGCGGTTGGGAGAAATCGGTCCCGAAGCGGTTGGTCAAAACCCGCTCCAACCGCTCGATCCTAGCCGCTTTGCGGTTGAGAACGCGCGGATCCGCTTCGCGAACGCGGATCCGCTTCCAGTGTGAACGCGCCATTAGGGGCCCGTTTCCGGCTTGAGCGGCGTCGGCGTCGGCGTCGCCGTCGCCGTCGGCGTAACCGCGAGGTCACGTGACCCCCTGAGGTCACGTGACCCCTGAGGTCACGTGACCCCCTGGTCACGTGACCTCAAGGAGTCACCTATCCCTCAGTACGCATCCATCTTCCTCCTCAAGAGCTGCGCTCTAACCGGCGTTACAGGGAATTGTAAACGGCTTTCATATTTTTTTTTTTTTAACGTTGCTGGAAACTCCAGCATATGCCTTGTGGATGAAGATAAAGCCTTAAATCCAGATACTGGAGTCCGTCTTCTGTTGGTTCTTCACTTGTAAACCTAAGACCCGACGAGCAGGAATCGAACGCTTCACAAATGGCCCGTGAGGAGATGGAGGTCGGATGAATAACAAGATAGTCATCTACGTATCGAAACACTCGGTATTCGGGGGCGAAAACATCCAGTCGGGAATTAATTGATCGGTCTACGTACATGAGAAAGACTTGACTGAGTATTGGGGCTAGGCAGGAGCCTATACAAACACCATTCTTTTGTCTTAATATGTTGCCGTTGTATTCAACGAGAGTTGGCTGAAGGTATAAGGCAAGGAGATCTGTGAAATCCTTAACTGTGATCCCTGAGGTATTTTGAAACATACAGAGACCATGTTCATGGATCCAGACACGGAATTCAAGAGAATACGGGGGTCTAGGCTGTAGTAAAGCTCTTCTATGTCTAAAGAAAACATGGAGAGTGGCTGGGTGGTGGAGTGTAGGGGGGAAAGGTGCGAGATAAGATCTGTGGAGTTTGAAATTCTAAAGCGCAGGAGGAGCGTCACCGTGGAGAGATGTTTTTGTAGAAATAAGGCCAAGGGTTTCTGCCAGCAGCCTCTTTCAGATACGATGCTTCTGAGCGGCACGCCTTCCTTATGCGTCTTGGCTGTGAAAAATACGGAAAAATACTGTTTTGCAGGTGAACCGAGTGTTTTCTTGAGAGCGGGCAGATTCATCAAAGTGCGACAGTCTTTTTGCCTCTGCGCGCAGAGATCCAGATGGCTTCTTCTTTAGTTGATCAAAGTTCTTTTCCAGTGCATTCGTGACCTTCTCTTCATAGGTTCTTTGATTCGACCACGAAAACACTGGTCTTGTCTGATTCGAGCAATTTGAGTTGCCCCCGCCGCAACTCTTCAACTGCTTTCCGAATCGGGAACTTGCCTGCTTTCGGAGGGGGGTGGTAGCAGATAGTGGAACACAGGGCGAGGCGACTTGATGTACCGAAGTTAATTGGTGAACTTTTGAGGTTTCCATCCAAAAATATGGATGGAAATCAGGCTGGAAAGCATTAGAAGTTCTCACAGGCACTTATTTAGCCAGTCTGCCTGTGAACGTCGATTTCGTCACTATTCTTGCCCTGGACTAGCACCGTAATCACAAAGTCACTAAACGCTTGTGCTTGATTGAGAGAGACTGCATTCGGTGCAGAACGCAGTTTTCTTACTGCTCTGGACAGTGACAATAAATTTGAGGGATGTATTTTCGCCCACAAAATTGTATTTAATTACAATTGTATTTGAAATACCCACGTTTTAGTATTTAAATACAGACGTCAAATACATTACCCAATTTGTAAATAAATACAAATGCAGAATACACAAAGCATTTGAAATACGTATTTCAAATACTTGTATTTGAAATACTGCCCATCCCTGGTTTTTATACTGTACTATTCTCATATGATTCATACATATCTTGTATCATTCATATGTGTTTATTGGACACAGAAATTTCTCATACCAATTAGATTTTTGGATAGGGCTTTGCACTCTACACGTTAATTGTACGGCGCACCAGGGGTTTGGGGATTCGTATTAGGGTTCAACGAAAAGCCAAATATAACGAAACAAACCAATCAACGCACCTCTTCATGACACCCCTCCTGTTAATTCCCGGGGTCAGTCGTAAGGCTGTTTGGAAAGGCACTGCGTTGATTTTCGGATTTGCACACTAAATACATAACACCCTTAGGCTATTGATGTAACACACTACGTGTGTTGGTTTAACACCAAAACAACATTGGTGTAAGTCTTCGGAACAGTGTTAGGGTGCTTGCGTACGCCCTACGAATAGGGAGGATAGCTTGCGATGTTAGCAGCATCCTAGGGATATTCTTGCGGGCAACAAGTTTGCAAAGAACAAACCCCACATACAGTCCTCACACACGCACAGAAACAGCAAGTACGGGCGTAATAGATCACGCACGAAAGCGGAGCCATTACCCTGCTGACTGGTTCACCCCCTTATATATACTCAACTATTCAAAGACACACATTCAGAGTTGCCTTTGTTTTTTCTTCGGTTTTTTTGTTTTCGTCAACATTTCGCTTAATGCATAATATATCTAAGTTCAGAAATGTTTCTTCAGTAAAGAGCATTGGTAGAGGCTTGCGTTAGTCGAGATCGTCACTAAAACAACCTCGCTAAAACGGATGTCATTGCGGCGAAAGTGTTGTTCGCCTCACCATATATCTTCTTGCAACCTTTTTTTTTTACACCGTTTAAGATAAAGGGTGTTAAATGCAACATAACCCTATTCTATGATCGAAAAGGGCGTATTATGGTGCAGTAACGGTACTGAAAGGGTTTAGTAATGGTGGAAAGTCACTGGAACAGCGTTTTTACACCCCAAAGCGTGTAAAATATTTTAGCGTATGGGCGGAATAGTGTCTCTCACTTCTAGCATTAAAGAAAGAAACTATTTTTGTTTTGGCGCGTTACGTTTTTGGGTAAAAAAAATGAAACACAATAATCTTTGTGGTATTCCGAACTCTTATACCTTCTCTCTCGCGTCACCTGCATCGTGCCGTCATTAAGGGTACATCAAGTTTGCGATTGAGTTTTGTCTTCAACGCTTTCTGCGATTCTTGACTTTTCAAGCTACGGTTCGGTCACAACAGCACACCGCACCCGGCCAGCATCGCCGGTAGTGGCCGATAGTAGAGGAGAGATGGTCTTGTTTATTTGGGGTGAATAGGCCCATAGAAATTTAGTAAGTGTTGGGTGGCAATAGTAACAAGCTTTCAACACATTTAATATTAAACTAAAAGATACTTTAAAACGTATTCATCAACTGAGTAAAACATTCCACTGCTCACTAAGCTACCCCTTGATGACGTCAGATTGTGGTTTCCAGGACCGCGATGACAGCCGCCGATCGAGAAATAGTCTGTTTTTTTCCTTTGGAAATACAAAGTAAAATTGGGATATTAAGGCAAGGTGGCGTGTTTTCTCTTCTTGCCAAGACAGGCAATATATAGCGTCCAAACTGCAAACGTTTCCGACGTTAAAACCGTCTCACACTGCGTTCTTAAAGCAACCGTTGAACAGTCGTATTTTTTTTATTTTTTGTTAAAATTACTACCATCGGTGAACAAGGATTTCTCTTACTTTACCGGTTATGTGGCTGTACCTGTTGAGGTACGTTGAAATCTTCAAAATTAAAAATCTCAGTTTACTAAAAAAAAAAAAAAGAATGCTGCTGTTCCTGAGGCTGCTTCAGTCCAATACACGTGCTAGTGGGACCCTCTGAGACCTCAACGAATCATCAAAGGCAGAAATAAAAAAGTAATAAAATTAATGGTTAGATTCCACTTTCATAGATTTCACAAGGTAGGAAAGGCATTTCATCAACGTATTTTTCTCGTCATGCCTACACTTTAGTTTTTATCACCGCGTTTTTGTTTGATTGCTCGCTTTGAAAACCACGAGAGCTGTAGTCTGTAGCAGGCTATAGCAACAGCGGAACAGATGCTCCGACAAAACCCTCTTCCTTTCGAATCGCATTGAACGGTTCGCAGAGCGAACCTTGCAGAGAAGGAGAGTGCGGAGGGGGAAACCACCAATCATGGCGAGCAGGGAGCTGTCCTGCTGTTGTAAAGCTGCTACAGACTATAAAGGGTCGGAGCCCCGACTGCATGCTACCAGCTGACGAGAAGAGCGTCTTCTGGGGTAAATATTGTGCAGGCACTTAATCGAAATCTTCCAAAGTAAGTTGGTACTTTCACTCACTCAAATGACAGGGGCATAGCAATACCGAGGCGGCCGTTGTCACTGACAGCTCAATAAATGCAGGGCGTGCCTTACTTCTCAGGCATCTTTGCTTCAGCCTCCTTATTAAGCAATATCTCGTTCGCTGGGGAGCGACGGTAAGATCCTCGACATACCCTTGAACTGTCGACAGCTCAATGGAGGCCGGAGAGTCATTTAATGATTCGTCGCTGTTTGGTGTTGTTTTTGTTGAAACGCCAGGAAAACTGTCGAGGAACTCTCGTCCTTCTGAAATTAAATTATTGCTGGAGCTAATTTTTTTTTTCTGCACGAGGAGCAGTGTTTTTTTTTAACTCTTGCCTATTTTTTTAACCAAAATGTGAAGTTCTAAGCAGACACCTTTGTTAACCTAACAAATGAAGGAATACAAAAAAAAAAGTTACGCAGACAGGTTTTATACTACGAAGAAAAATATTTCACCTATGTATTTTGTCTCCCTTTCGGGACTCGCTTTATCGCCAGGCGAGCACGTGGTAAGATATCTTGAGGTTAATCTATTGTCGCTCGACACAACCTCATAAATATTTCATATGTTGCAGATCATGACACCGAGGAGAGTTATAGCTGGTGTGCTCTTTGCCATTATCGGTACGTGCCACATGATATCTCTTTAAAAACTAGAAACGCCGTACGCCGAGTTTAGATTCCCAATACGTATCTCAGGTCGCACTTTGACAGCTCCACTAATACCGAACCTTGAGCAGCGAAGGGCAATAAAGAATTTTAGTATGTCGTTTCAATACCTCTGATAACGATACTCTTTGAGTATGCCTCGCATCGCTATCAGGTATCGTTATCGGAGGCATAGAAACTATCTGCTCGAACTCCCTGGTGTCAGCGCAGAACGTGTTTTCAAAATTATTAAGATCTACATTTGAAAAGGGTGTCAGTGGTGTATACAAACCATTCCAACTAAGACATCCCCCCCTTTTTTTTGTTTTAATCACACCCAAACGTCATAGCGTGCGTGACAATACTCTGTTTCATAATAACTTTTCAAACTGTGGAGGCTACGGCTCTGCGGTCCAATGAGAACGTTAGAGAGATGCACGTGACTAGACGAAAGGGGAGAATGTGTGTCACTACACCAAATGCGAGGCGCGTGGCCCGGAGGAACCGCCTGTCGTCTGCTAGCCAAGAGTCGCCTGCTCCGAAACCAACTAACTTCGGATGAACGTCCACAGCAGCAACATTTCCGTCCGCTAGAATAGCGAGCACTTCGGGAACAGTTCATGAGACAACCATACGCTCAATTTAGCCGCGAATTGGTGTCAGGTGCTAATGCCAGGGCGCAATGCGATGTTTTGAGTGGAAACGGCCGATTGCACGGCTGCGGTCAGCAACGGCCACGGCGCAACAAGTAGAAAAAAAAATCGAGAGTGGATACAGATGTGGCGTCACTTTTTTGCTTCAAGTATAATTAAAACACATTAATTTGTGATTGTTTATTCTTTATTCTTCGTATCTTTTAGTTAGAGATGGAATCGCGCGAGTTCCATTGCTGTTTAAAAAAAAAGAAGCCTAGAACTACTTTTCGTCGCGGACGGCGCTATGGCCGTGGCGGTAACGAGGCCCCCGTGGCCTCGACCATGGAGTGTTATGACGTGCCTTGCTCCGGCGCTCTTATTGGACCGCGGAAGCCGCAGCTTCCACAGTTCGCCAAGTTATCGTGAAACGGTGTATAATGGTGTAGCGCCATGATCGGGAGGGAGGGTGTTAACCAATACAACCTAGAAGACAAGACCTTTTCCACCCCAAACGTCATCACTAGTTGATACACGCAGCGCCACCTAACCTTCGCCAGCCTCGCCCCCAGCGTGACTCGCAGCGTTTCCCACCGAGCGCCACGGAGCTCTCGTATACATGGAGCTCTATGGCCCCCGTAACCGAAAACGGGCAAAAGTGGGCCCCATTTTACCATTAAAATTAAAAGAAAAATCACTTATAACTTCTGAGTAAGATCACGGTTGGTGCTGAAACCTTGGCATCTTGCTCGAAAGGTTGGGGCTACGTTCTGACGGAGTTCGAGCTCTCCGCGGTGTCCAGTTTCTTTTGCGGTGCGAAAAGCCGGGTTCGGATCTCTCACAAACACCCCATACATTCCAAATCTCTTCGCCGCATGTCACATTGCATAGCATTCTTATATAAAAACGCTGCTCATTGGAAACCCCACCATGTGCTTTCGCATACATAAGCAGTAAGCTAGAGAAACAAACGCCTCACTTGACCCACGTTTTGCAACAACCAGAACTAACTCTGGCTCCTGATAGGCGATTCTGAGCAAAACCCAGACTGGGCCGAAAAGGTCACTTTTGGTTCTACCTTGGCTTCTTCGGGCATTTTAAGGCACTAAATGCGCAGGCAAAAAGCACATTTTTGTCCCAAAGAACTGCGATGCCCAAGTGTTCATGGCATTAATATCTGTTTTAGGCGATATTTTTTAATTTGTTCAATATAGCAAACAGCGTCTAGTATCAGCAGCCAAGATACGTGGCTGATACTGAAATAAAACTTGTCCCGACAGCCCTGAGCCAACTTCGCCCCGGTGGCGGAGCATGCCCTGGCACCGAAACGCAGTGCAATGCCGGCTGCTGTCCCCTGAAGAATGCAGTCTGTTGCTCGGACAATCAGCACTGCTGCCTCACTGGCTACGTATGTGACCCCCCTTACTGTATCGGCGAAGCCGGCAGCTCACCCGTTCCGGCGGAAGACATTGAATAAGCTCATATTCGACGTAAGTTCACAACAACCCCCCTTCCTTTTGGGTGACCTGTGCCATGGCAATGTTCTACCCTGTTAGCAAAAATAACACGCCCAGACGTGTTAACCGTTGAACCATAGCGGACACGTCGAAACGTGTTCGTTTTACACGGAGCCATCTGTGTTTTTCGTCTACACATGAGGTGCTGTGTAAAGTTAACACGCTACACCGTGTTTGCCTTCCGAGAAGCACGGTTCAACGTGTTCCTTGTGAAACATGGCGGCCAGCAGCCGAGAACAGGCGAGGGACGAGCCCAGCCAGCCGCGCCTTTCAGCCGAACTGAAAGCATACAGGACGCGTTCGTTCTCGTTCGATGTCTTTTATGCACAGTAAACAGTCTCCGAGCGGCGGACGTAGCTACGTGCAAAGGTACACATCGCGACACTGTTAGCGCGAACACGACGTCGGCGCATTTTCGCATTTTACTTTTAAATAGTATTATTGCGCACGAAATTTTATCGCTTACATTATAGAACTAAATGAGCTCTTTCCGTAGCAATAATAACTTGGATGACATCCCTTGGTTACAAAGAGAGAAACTGGAAAAACCGGCGATCGCTTGTTCGCGCTAACAGTGTCGCGCTCTGTACGTACGTGCATCGTCGGCGGTCGGTGGTGTCGGCAGCTACGACAAAACCGCTAGACAAAAAAAAAAAAAAAACGAATATTGAATTTACATGGATAAATAGCTCAAGCAAACTCTTGTAATCGGGCGGTAACTTGCGCCACCTAGTGCGATTTCTAGCAACCAATGAAAAAAAAAGCAGGAGTGGGTTAATACGCTGGGAACTATCACGAGTAGACTGCTACTCTACATACCTCACAGACAAGACGAGCACCACGTAGGACACAGCAGCGACACATACACAAACACAACACCGACACTACGCCCGACACTTCCTAACACTAACAACACTAACAACGGACTCTCCCCGCGGCGTATATATGCTTGACATGTACGGGTGAGCTCTTTGGTCGCTGACCGTTACCGATTTATAGAAGAAGACACAGAACACGGCACAATGGACAGCAGTATGTAAGAACTGTTTGCATTTAAAAAGTATGGAGGCAAAATCTGTAAAATTAGTCCTTTGCGAAAAACAACGATGTACTAACAATAAATCTTAAACCGGCCATGAAAAAGTTCAAATTTTTGTTATTTTCATGGTCGACCAGTGTTATGAGCAGTCCGACTCGCTTGAATCAGATAGAAAAACAAATGATTGGGATTTTATCAGTACGTATTCAATAATCAATGGAAATTATACTTGCGCAAGGCATTTTTTATATATATTATTGTGAAGGACATCCGCCCAACACTTCACTTCCGCTAGTTGTAGTACGCGTACGGGAGCAGACGCCTTCACTTTTGGGGCGTTTTGATGCAGATTGTTGTCGTCTGTCGTGTTGGTGTCGAGCGAAGCGGTGAGGCTTGGGAGTTTGTGACCGGTGTTATTCGTGATCATTATTGTGGCGCTGATGCGTTTTTTTTTTTTTTTTTTTTAATATTTTTATGTAGCTACATTGAAAATTCACGAGCCCGTGGCACTGCATTATGCTAAAATCGCGAGCTCCTTCTCTGTTGACGTCGTTTTTCTGGTAGCACTCGTGGATACTGCAAGCGTTTAAACAGTGCACAGTCTCGCCTACATCCGCGGTGACGTACTCGACCTGTTGAAACATATTGCTTGCGTCATTTTGGAGTACGCAAGGCAATTATCTCGCTGCTCTGGTTTCGGTTATAAAAGCAAGGCAAAACGCTCGTAGTTCCCGCCCTCAGTACACGTTGGACATCTTCCACACTTTGACACTGGATAACTGGATGAACGAGGATTTACATTTACTTCTGAGGTCACACTCGCCGCTTCCTCACCGTCGAGCAGCAGGATCAGCTGGCGACAAGCCGCGTATGAAAGGCTCGAGCATCAACAGCCCAAGTGCACTCGGTGCCGATGCGGGCGATGCGGGTTTCTGTCAACCGCTAGCCCAGCACAGACCGTGACCGTTCCAGCTCTTCGTCATGACGCGGTGTTGCAGAAAGCAGCGTATAATACCACTACACGGACCACCGAAGCGAACGCACTGTTATCGTAAATCTTGGCTTGTGATTGCGCCTAAATTTGTAAATAATCTTATTCTTTTTTCTGGAGACGCAAACAAAGGGCATAACAAAATCGTTTGCATATTCCGCATACCTCGCAAAAGCGTCAGTCACCTTGCGAGAAGCGCAAAACATGGTGTCCGCACCGTCCTGACTTTCCAGTCTTTTACCTGCTTTAGAGCAGTTTGTACCTGTTAGTAGGTATGTCTACAGAAACTGCAACTTGAAACTTGGGGCAGTGCCAGAGGGAAAAGAGACATATTCGGGCCTTTTCCCAATGTAAAGGAAAACCACTATGTTCTCTACGTAAAAAATTGGTCTCAGTTCATGGATCTGTGGGCAGGTAGAAAATCTTGCCCTATAGTTTATTCACACCGCATGATGAGCGCAACAAACTCACACGAGTCACACGAGATTTACAGGAAAACATCGGTGGTGTCTTAAGTTTCCCTGAAATTCTGTATAACCGGTCGTTTGCGGGACCGAATCATCTACTCGAGCGGTGTGCGTCGCTGTGCGAACACGTCGCTGTGCAAATGCAGTCTAACGACACGAAGCATAGAAACGGCAGATTTAGGGAAACTATCCGAAGTCCCTTGTTCAATTAAAACGACGTAATTTTGTTGAAAACGGCCGCAGCATTTTACTCACGGTATGCGTCGGGAATCTTCCACATTTTGAAACGGAACGAAGGAAGATTTACTTTTAGGAACGCTCGCTGCGTCCTCCCCGACCAGCTGGACCGGATCAGCTGACGACGACGGGGCTAAACCCGCCAAACGCAACCCCACAACAACCAATATGAGCTCCGCGTTAGTGCGGGTTTCTACCTACAAGCACCGCACCACACACCACGAACGTTTCGGCCCTTTCTCGCATCGCCGTGTTGCCCCAAAGAGAACGAGATCGCCGAAGAACGCAGCGCTGTCGTGAACCTTGGCTTGTGGTTGCGCACTCGTGGACCCGTGACTCCCCTCGCTTTCAAAGCACACACGACGAATGGTACTTTCCGTCTTCCGGGAACGTCACAGGGGCACTTCTCCGGTCACGTCTTCACTATGTGCTCGCAAACTGCGAAGCTCTATGCGAAGCTTCTCGCGTCCCGTCAAACCAAAACAATAGCGACTGCCAGAAATTTCTCCAGTCAAACAAAAAGAACGAAAGCCAACCGGCGCTTGCTTCCAGCGTACATCGGCGTTGCACTTGCGCCGTGGCCAGATCGCTTGCAGTTGAAGGTTGAAGCAAAAACGAAACCAACTGCAATGTCACGTGTTCACATCGAGGACACGCTTTTTATATCCATTTTAACTGTTTGGAACGAATAATTGGACCCATGACTTTATTTGTGGTGTGTAAGAAACTATTATCAAGAGCCCTAAACTAAATGCAAACATGGGCGACATGAGGGAAGCCGCATTGCCATCGACCAGAAAATGGCGGCGAGCCACGGTAAGCGCGGGTTTCGCCAACGTCCCGCGACATGGCGTAATTGCTTTTGGTGCATATCTGTTTCCGAGACATGTTTCTTTCGGCGGCATTTGTCTCGACGGTCCTTTCTAAGTGTGTCCCCAAGCATTCCGGTGCTTCGATAGCCTGCAATGCCGCGGTCGTCGCCGGAGGCGATGCGTGTTATCGAGGTCGGCTACACGGTTATGCGTGTATGACCGAACCAAAACACGTTTTTTACAACCTCGCATGATATCTGAACGTATTATCCGTTACTCATCGTGTAAATTTATGGTAATTTGTGTAAATAGCGTGTTTTTCACCCCAAATATTCACCAAATACACGGCACTTGCTAACAGTGTAGCAAAAAGATCTGAGGTCCGCATGCCACCAACACGCGTCTCTGACGGCTCACCCCTGGTGTGGCGCTGTGTCGGAACAGCGCACGCGACGGTTCACTTCACTGGATTCTGGTTTCTGCGCACCCGAAGCGGACTTGTTTGGAAGCAGCGCGTTGGTGTATATACTGGGCCTGGAGTCACGAGCGAAGCTATACGGGTCAGCGTAACGGCACTTCTACCCTCTCGGTACTACGAATCATTGTTGCCAGTTAAAAAAGAAAAAAAAATCTTTTAGGCGAAATCGCGGAAAACGCTGTCCGGTCCCCCGGAAGTGTTAAACCAGTCTGACGCGCCAAGCGAAACGGCATTACTTAAACTTCCTGACACCATGTTCAAAGCCGAGGGATCCGGAGTTTCGAAGGCTAGCTATCGCCAATAACGCAGTCTTTCTAGGAAAAAAAAATGGCTGCGCCCACAAGAAAATCAGGGACCAAAGGGACGATACAGTGATGTCTCGTTATTATGGACACCTCCGTTCCCGTAAAACAAAAATGGTCCATAATGTAAGTTGTCCATAATAACGAAACAAAAATGCATGTATTTTCCCAGTCTGTCCACGAAAGTGGCGTCCTCATAGGGGGGCATCAATATTAACGGGGCCCATATTAACGAGACATGCGTGCTTCCTTCGACTTACCCGGGGCTCCTGCACCACACACACACTGTGATTCCCCCAAACCAACCAAACGTATCACTGTGTTGATGTCGCAGTTCAAAAGCATTGTACTTTTTTGTGACCTCTAGCTGTTTAGGTTTTTTGTCTAAACCGAAAGGTGGTTGTGTTTTGTACCAGCCATCACTTAGTTCGTTTTATAACGTGGGTGAGTGTTCTGCGCGCGACCTTGAAAAACAGGATTTTCGGTGGTTTGGTTGCGGTTGTAGTTTTGTGTATAAGGAGGTTGATTGATTAAAATTATTTGCGGAGTTTGAGACGCTATCTGTCCCCTGTTACTTTCTTTTCCACTGTCAAAAAAGGAACTTCTCCTTCGGTTCCAGTTTTGGGTTAAAATCATCCTGGCAAACT